CCCCGCCGGCGCCTTTGTCCCCGGGCGCCGAGGCCCCACTGGGGCGTCTGCAAGGGGGACTGCGGCTCCTCTCTTTCTCTCTGTCGCGTCTCAGTGCCGCCTCCTTCCTTCTCAAAGGCAACTGGATGCTGCTGTTTGCTTGCAATGAGGTCAGTGAACGCTGTTCCCCCTAAGACTGTTCCACTCGCTGCGGAGACGCGGTGGGCAGAGCACGAAAGCCCAGTGCGGGCCCTGCGCCTGGCTCCCTCCCATCGCGCTGTGGCCAAACGTGCCAACACCATTCCCACCCAGGCTTTTCACACTTCTGTGGCCCGTCTCAAGTCTTTGACCTGTAAGCGAGATTTACAGGAAGAGGAAAAGCTGTAAAGGCCGAGCCAAAGGAAAGAACAGGGCACTGGGCCCTGAGCCTGAGCTGGGAGTGAACACGCAGAAAGTCTCCAGTCCTGGATGGATATGCTGTCTCCTACCTGCTTATGACTTTATGCTTGACCACCCCAAGTCTTAATCCGGCCTTCACTCTTGTTTTAAAAGGGTCCTCGGGGCTACAAAACCTGGCCTGCCAGTGCCCCCAGCCAACTCCGTGGCCCTCGGTGAAGCCTCTGAGAATTCAGACATCTCTCCAGAGCCAGGAGGCCAGGAATTCCCAGCCCCCACCCATATAACATCCAAATGAGGACAACAAATGAGTGACTGTCTATTCAATATCCCACATGGCCTAATTTGGGCTTCCTCGCAGCATGGCGGCCTAAGGAAGTCAGGCTGCTTATTTAGAAACGGGTGGTTTCAAGAGCAAGTAGTCCAGTAAGCGAGGCAGAAATATCCCCGCCCTCTCGGCCATAGCATCACTACTGCTATTCTCTATCGGATCAAACAGTCAGAAAAGCGTGCCCTGTTTCAGGGAGGGGGAGAGGGCAACATAGACCCCACCGCTTGCCCAGAAGTGTTTAAAAAGATTTGTGGCGCCCAGCCCCAGCCGGCCGGGCACAGCGGTTGAGCGTTGACCTGTGAACCAAGGAGGTCACAGTTCCATTGTGGTCAGGGCACATGCCTGGGTTGCAGGCTCCATCCCCAGTGTGGGGTGTGCAGGAGGCAGCCGATCAATGATTCTCTCTCATCATTAATAGTTCTCTCCCTTGTTCTCCCTCTCTGAAATCAATAAAAAGATTTGTGACTGCATTAAGCAATAATTGACTGATCCCTTTTTGTTTTTGTCCCTGGGTCTTTTCCAGTTCTTCTGATTGGTCTATCTTGAGCAGGGGTCCTCAAACTTTTTAAACAGGGGGCCAGTTCACTGTCCCTCAGACCGTTGGAGGGCCGGACTTTAGTTTAAAAAAAAAACTATGAACAAATTCCTATGCACACTGCACATATCTTATTTTGAAGTAAAAAAACAAAACGGGAACAAATACAATATTTTTATTTGCATGTGACCCACGGGCCGTAGTTTGAGGACCCCTGATCTTGAGCATCTATCTTCCACTCTTCAAATGAAGGTGTTTTCCATGTTGGAAACGTTAGCAGGTGAGGTAGCTGGGCTCCAAAGACGGCCCTCTCACAATATCCTGATCCTTTGTGGTACTGCCCCTCCCACACGGAAGCTGGGCTGGCACTGGGGAGGAAGTGATCCCTGTGATTTTCCAGATTAACTCACAAAAAGCCTCGCCACTTCTACCGGGGTTCTGATAATGTCCATTCTGGGGAAAGTCAGCCACCACATAAGAAGTCTAACCTGAGACGACCATGCTTGAGGAAGTCCAAGCTAGTCACATGGAGGAGCCTCCTAGAGAATGCAAAGTGCTGGACCAGCCCCCAGAGACCTCGGCCAGCGTAGCCTGGGCAGGATGAGCGTGAGGACGCCGTGTTGGATATCCAGCGTGGTGGAGCATTCAGACGACTCCAGCCCAGCCACCTTCTGCCTGCAACTGCATTTAGGACTAAGCAAGAGCCGCCCCACTGAGCCTAGTCGACCCTCAGAATCTTGAAAGATAATAATAAATTGTTACTTAAGCCACGAAGTTTGAGATCGCTTGTTATGCCGCAGTAGATAACCAGAACGCCAGGGCTTATGAATCCCACCTCAGAATGCTTCCCAAATACGATCTTTTTAAGCAGGTCTTCAACATTATATATTCACTGAGGCAAAGCTTCCTCTCTGCTATCTGAGCAAGAACTCATTCCTTTAAGGAAATTCTTCCTGGCGGTGATATAAGACATGCTCCCAAGCAATTATAAAATAAAGGTCAGTACAGAAAAACTGCCATGAGAATCCAGAAAAGAGGATGATTCCAGCAGAGCTGGTGGGCCTGAAGAGGCGGTGGTATTGACTTGGATCCTGATGCCAAGTGGCTGTTTGTGGCTCTGTTCTGCAGAAGCAAGGAGCTACTGAAGTTTTCTGAGCAGAATAGTGGTGTGATAAAAATTATGTCTTAAGAAAATTAGTCTGAAAGTGATGTATGAAGTCAGTTGCATTTGGTAGACAGGGTAGTCAGTGAAGGTGGAGAGACCAAAAGAAAGTTACCATGACAATCCAGGGGAGAACAGCCAACCCTTCACCCGGGCCTGTGGCAGTGAAAATGGTGTCAAGAGAGTAGCCTGTAGGGACATTGCAGGGGTTGATACTTGAAACATCACTTGTATCACATACACGTAATGATACCATTATGATATCAATTCTCCCATTTCTTGGATAAATGAAAACAAAATAAATAATTCCACAACTCTTACTTTTGAAGGAATGTGATTTTTAAAATAAAGCACCTTTAAAATATACTTTATGTTCTGGGGGTTAGGGGGAACTAAATTAAATCCATAGCTATAAATATGTGTGACCAGAGATTACTCTTTTGAACATTTCTAGCCAATTTTAATGTATTTATATTGATTTACATTTTTTTCATTTACCCAACCCTCTGGGATGTTAAAAAAGTGGGGGTAAAAAGCCTTCAAAATTTATTGTTATTTTTTTTTCATTTTTTAGGGCAACATCATTAGTAATTTTTAAACCCACAGTGGTCATTCTTGGGACGGTGCAGTTGCTCCAAATATTTTTTAAAGTATGAGCTCCCTCTAGTGGCCAAAATAGTCTATACCTCTTGATCAAATCTGTACCCCATATTTGATATATAAATAATTTCAGTGAGTAAAGTTTAACTTCCTCCAGGACTGAATTTGCGCTTTAAAATTTGTCTTTGCTTTGAATTTGATGGGCTTCATAATGTTCATGGTGGATTTCAACATCTATTATTGCTATAATTTGTAATGATCAGTTTTCAATAATGTGTTAATATTGAGTCTCAGACCATACCAAAACTCAATTATTACCTCATTAATGTGCAAGCTAACTTACTATAAATGTTCCAAGGAAGTGAGGTCATCATTTATCACTCTATAAAATGTCCTCATTGATGAGCCTATATCCTCTTAAAACTAATTCAAGTTGAAACTATTCCAAAAATGTATGTTTCCTGTCTGAATCCCATCGTTTCCTACAGGAAGGGTCACCCTCAGCAGATGCCACTGAAGTCACTTCTCCACTATGGGACAGTGTCAGGGCACTGCCTGGGGTTGGAGGAGTGAAGAGAAAGACGACTACTGAGTGCCTACTATGTCTCAGGCATTAGGTTTGCATCTGCTATCTTATTTGAAGTCATAAAGAGATGTCTTTCTATTTGCTTCTATTCAACAAAAATTTTCAAACTCTTACAAGTAATAATAAGGCCCAGAAGTAAAGTAGACACCTTCTTTGCCTTTAAGAGGTTTAGGCCGAGTGAGGGGACCCTAAGGAAACAGATGAGGGTAGCTGACTGGCCAGGTGGAAGCTTAAGCACTGGGAGAACTCCCAGGAGCGGCTCCTCACCCCAACTGCAGGGGGCGGTGGGGAGCAGCAGGGAAGACTAGCTTTCTCAGAAGAGGGAATCCTAAATTGAACCTTGAAGGATGATGCTGAGGAGTCAGCCAGGCAGAAGGACAGTATGAGTCATAAAGAGGGCATTAGTTCAGGCTGGCTGGCACTAGGGAGGAGGGTGAATGATTAATATTCCCATTTTTGCCCTAGCCGATTTGACCCAGTGGGTAGAGTGTCAGCCTGTGGACTGAAGGGTTCCGGGTTTGATTCCGGTCAAGGGCATATACTTGGGTGGCAGGCTCGATCCTATGCAGGAGGCAGTTGATCAATGATTCTCTCTCATCATTGATGTTTCTATCTCTCCCTCTCCCTCACTGAAATCAATAAAAATATATATTTAAAGAAAATAAAAGAATAAACCAGTGAATGCATAAGTGGAACAACAAATTGATGTCAATAAAAATATATATTTAAAGAAAATAAAAGAATGAACCAGTGAATGCATAAGTGGAACAACAAATAGATGGTTCTCTCTCTCTCTCTCTCTCTCTCTCTCTCTCTCTCTCTCTCCCCCCGATCTCCCCCTTCCCTCTCTCTCTCAAAAATCAATCAATCAATCAAAAATATCCATATAAACATGATTTTGTGTACACAGCCCTGCACGGTGAATCTTATAAACACTGTGTGAGAACCACTGAGCAAACTATGAGCCCAAAGTTAGAGCTTATATTGCAGATGCCTGGGCGTTCAATCCATTTTGCCTTTAAGATAGCTGTCAAATTCCTAACAGTTAATGGGCAATCAG